CAGACCCGAAACGTCAGCTTTCCTGCTCCTCTGATGCTGCTTGGCCTGCTGTGTTCATCCAGCTCTACACCTTGTTATCTTAAAGCAGGGTCTCTCGTTCAGACACTGATTGCCTTTAGATGAGAGAACATTCCAGGCAGCACATCAGCAACTTTTACAAGGTTGACCTCTCGAGATTTCCACACGATGAGTTCCCTGCAAGACATTAACATGAGGCCCTTAAGTGGGCAATCATCACCTAATTAAACCCTGAATTGGTGGTGGGCTAGAAATGCTTCCACAAGCTTTCACAACAGAAAAGGACCAGATCTCCATCCAGCATTCTCTTGCTTGGTTAAGTATCGACCAAGCGCATTGAATTCTATTTACTTTTAATGAAATTTGGATACTCAATGCAATATTAGTTTGAACACGCCAGAGGTGGTGGACGTTGTAACCTTCCTTCTTTTTGACACATGTTCCACAATCATTTTCTTCTATCTTCAGACATGTCACTTTAGGTTTGAGGATAGCTCATGTAAGGGCAAGACAATATTAAGGTTTTTCCACTAACCTGATTTATTAGCTGAGTTTGTGAGAGCAGATTCCAGTTAGTGAAACATTAATCAATTAAACATTGATTTCCTTTCCATTCAGGAGGATCAAGGTATTTTGCATGCAGCGCATTTTGACAAAAATTAAATTGAAACTGCCCCAAATTCATTTTGATTTGGTAATCAGTAAGCGGTAGTGCAGTGGTAATGTCCCTGGACTAGTAATCCCCAGGCTAATGTTCTGGGGACCTGGTTTAAATCCTACCATGATAAAATTTGAATTAACTTAGACAGTCTCTGTAACACAATTAGGAGTGTGACAGAACTCTAAAGGAAGGGCTCTTGTGATACCGTGGTCATGTCCACATCTGTTTCATAACATATCTGAAGAGATTTTAAAATATACTTAGAGGGAATCTTGACTAATTTGTGAAAACTATGCTCAAAATCGTCCTTTCATCAGAGTGTCTAGTCTACAACATGTAATTTAACTTTAATTAACTGTGAATGACTATAAGGACCAGAACCTTTCGTAAGTCAGCTCAGTGTCACTTGATAAATTGAAAAAAAAAGTTCAAGAACTTTTTATGAAGTTCTTATTAGTGTCCTGAAATCTAGAAGACAGATTAATTCAATCCAAGGTCTGTCCAGTTTTGTCCACAGAGCTAATTTTTGACATAATGACCTGGTATTTGCGATCAATGATGAAGGAAACATATTTCATCACTCACTCTGAAGAAAGCCTCACTGAGAAGAATGAGGGGGGTATCATAGAAACATAAAAAATTATGAAAGGAGGTTGTTTCCACTGGCAGGTGAAACTCAAACTAGGGGGCACAGCCTCAAAATCAGGTGGAGTAGATTCAGGACTGAATTGAGGACGAACTGCTTCACCAAAGTGGTTGTGAATCTGTGGAATTCTCTGCCCAATGAAGCAGCTGAGACTACCTTGTTGAATGTTTTTGAGGCAAAGATAGATAAATTTGTGAACAGTAAAGGAATTAAGGGTTATGGTGAGCAAGCAGGTAAGTTGAGTTGAGTCCACAAAAAGAAAAGCCATGATCTTATTGAATGGCAGAGCAGGTTTCACTGTCCAGATGGCCTACCCTTGCTCCTATTTGTTACGTTTTTATGAGAAGTCTAGTGGTCTCTTTGGCAAGAGCTTTACGTCTTTCCTTGTGCAGTGGATTCCAGCATTCTTCAATGGGATTCCTCTCACAGAGCTGCACTAATGTTATCAAGTTGGTCAAATAGCCAAACACATTAATTAATTCTCACAGACAGCCAACCAGGAAATGAAAAGCACTAAAATCAAAACACCATTCAATAAATTTTACACAGAGCAACACAAAAATTGCAAAACACAGATTGGGTGGAAACAGAAGCTGAAATTTCATGAAAAGCTGTAAAATCTATCTTAAAATAATCTAGTAACTAAACTTGATGATTTGTTTTATAATTTGATGGGATGTGGCCATCACAGGCAAGGATGCCCATCCATAATTTGCCCTGAAGTAAGTGGTTTGCTGGGCAGTTTCAGAGGGCAGCTTGTTGTCTGTTTGGAATTATAGGTAGGCCAAATTAGGTAAATTTAATTTCCTAAAAGACACTATTGGACTAGTTGGATTGTTACAAAAATCAATGATCATTTTATAAGTCAGCATTACGGAAAATGGCTTATATTCCAGGTTGATTGATGGAAGTGAATAGAAATTCAACCAATTGCTGTCGTTCCCAGAGTATCGATGTACAATTGCTTACCCAAAGACATCACCACTGTGCCAACACCTCCCCAGCTGATGTTTAACAACACTGCACAAGTGTAAAATTGCTGTTCCAGGTTCAGATCTATTATCCTGTAACTGGTCACTGTCAAAAGCCCCATTATACCTTTTGAATAAGGCAGAACCTTTTATGGCATTGCACTGATCGCTGGCTCTGGAGGAGGAGGGTACAAAGTGTGGACTGTGGCAAAGCAGTAAGTGACAAACTGTAACTTCTCTGTTAACCTGTCTTGTGCTCAGTTGAGGCCAGTTTCAAAGAATTAATCATGGAAATCGGTGGCAGAAACTCTGGCAAAATATGAGCCAAATAGTAAATAAAGGATGCAAAAGCTCCATTTGTGCTGAATGTAATTTGTGCTTAATTTATTTTTTCTTTATTCATTCACAGGATGAGTGTCACTTGCTAGGCCAGCATTTATTGCCCTTCCCTAATTGCCCAGAGGACAGTTATGAGTCAACCACACTGTTGTGGAGTTACATGTCGGCCAGACCAGGTAAGGATGGAAGTTTCCTTCCCTAAAGGACATTAGTGAACCAGATTGGTTTTTCCCCAACAATTGATTCACAGTTATCATTAGACTCTTAATTCCAGATATTTATTGAATTCAAATTCTACCATGGCGTGTATCAAACCTAGGTCCCCAGAATGTTATCTGGGTCTCTGGATTAACAGTCCAGCGATAGTGCCACTAGGCCATTGCATCCCCTGAATTAAATGACCTTTTCAATGGTTTAGATAATTTTTGAAAATGTGAGACGAAGAAAGAGCACATCCTGGTGGAAATTCCAGGTCACTGAAAGGACCAGTAAATCTGATGTTACTATATTGATATTGATTTTAGATATTGTAGTTTAGACCTACCATTTCACAAAGCATTTATGGGAACATTTTCTCTTACGTTCAAAATTACGAAAGCAACTGAAATTTGTACGACCTTTCCCCTGCTCATTCAACTTGCTCCAGTCTCCCTCTTTAACTGGAGAAAGAGGAGGTCACCACGTCTATCTCAAGGGACCAGCATCCTAATGATCAATAAGCAGCAGTCAATCTCACAGAACTGAGTTCATGCATAGATTTCATGACTTTTGGCTAATGATTGGCCCAGCCAGGAATGCTCCTGAGACTTGTTAATGATACTGGGCAGGAACTTCTAGGACTCCTGGGCCTAGACAGGAAACAAAGCACTAGGAGAGCAGATAATTCAGGAAAATAAGCTGCGATGTGAGCTCCAAATCATTGACATCTATAAACACTGCCAGTGAATGAAGAAACTCTTGTAACGCCACGAAACACGTTGGTTGAGAAATAATTTGCAATTGATCACTCGTAAGACCTAGAGATAGTGCAAACAGTTGCATTTTTAATGACTTAATTGATGAAGATAAATATTTCACAATGATATAAAAAAAATTTAAGTGGTAGTAAGTGGATGGCACTTGGAGAGATCTGGCACAGGCATGATAGACTGAACATTGCAAAACTTCACCGACTGTAGGCAAACAGAAATTAAAACCTGCCGTCTATAAGCCAGCAATACTCTTGATGGTAGTGCACTGATCCAGGGTTTCAGCCCCACTATTGATCTCAGCAGCAATCTATGCTCGTCTCAGATCTTGTTCCAATGGGAGGCTGTCTTTCCCTGGCCTCTTGCCAAAATGTCAGCAGATAGCCATTTCCCAGAATATTAATTAAA